GGGGGCAAAAAACAGCCAGGGGGGGGCAAAAAAATTTTTTTCGCGCTTCGCACGAAATCGTGCCCCCCCCTGGCTAAAATCCTGTGTACGCGTCTGCAAACAATCATCACAATATAGTTTAAATAATTAAAACATATTTTACCATGAACATAAAATAATTCAAATTTCCAAAAAATAGTTTAAATAAAACAGTTCAAATAAGGATTTAGTAGTTCAAATGAGCAAAAATAATAGTTCAAATGAGCAAAGAAAATAGTTCAAATGAACAAAAAAAAAATTCAAGTGAGCTAAAAGATTTCAACAATTTTTAACAAAATTATTATATATTTAGGGTTAGGTTAGGTTAATAGTTCAAATGCTTAAAGAATATTATTGTTTGAACTATTAGTTGTTTTGAACTACTACACGTGGTACCACATGCAATAGTTCAAACGACCAATAGTTCAAACGGCAGTAGTTCAAATCAAAGACTTTGCTAATCAAGGATAGCGCATCAGAAAATCTACGCAAATTTGACGCATTTTCTGGGAAACTGAAAGATCGTAACAAAGGTCGTCTTCTCCAGAAATGCTGACGTTTCATAATGCCGTCTTTTGAAATTGTAAGGAATTAAATAATTATTCAAACACAAAACAAGGAAACAACTTTAGTTTTTCTATCTTGAAATATTTTATTAGTCCATATAGTCCATAAAAGTGACTAGTGGAAAGACAATGAACATAATTTACAGAATTCATCACTTTTTAAGTTGAAATAACGACGATATCTTCCTCATTGTTACCCAGATAAATGTTTAAATGATACCGTTGTTGATAGGACCTGTAACTTGAAATTACATCTATCAGTCCTTTAGAACATTTACTTTTGGTTTGAAGTATATTAAGTGTTTATTAGAAGAAAATTAATGTCACGTATCTTTCATGTAACCTTGTGCTTTTCAACAGTAATCAATTATTTCATTACTTTTTCATTCAAGATTGAATTCTCTCTCTACCTGATTTAAATAAATTATTGAAAAATATAACTTCATAATATTTATTTAACAATGTAATAGTTTTTACAAGATCGGGATATTTCTCTGTAAGGAATTCCTATGATCCAATTAAAGAGCCTTCGTCCAAACTTTTTTCTTTTTGGATCTGCTGGTATTGTAAACGCAGACTCTCCTATTCTTGGTTGGCTTGGCAGTTAAGTATCATTAATACTTTGCTTGGCAGTGGCACCGACGAATCTGAATTTATCAGAATTGTTCATTGAACTTGTATACATAATACTCCGAAATTTGAAGACGAAATTTAGACAATCTCCATGTTCACTGCTCTGAACTATTTAATCAAAAATTGAGTCTAAAAGTCGTCTTTATATTTCCCAGTTTTATTTTCACCAATGTATTTCTTTAATCCACCTTTTTAAAATCCTCCAATAATTCATGTCTGAAAACTATTGTAATCAGCTTTAAAAGACTTCATAAGTCGTCCATTAATTCGCTTTTTTAACGAAACTTTCTGTGATATTTTTTCTTTAATGGTGGATATTTTTAAACAAAATCCCCATGAATTAATTAAAGAATAAGATTAATACATTAATTTATGCGATATCATTTCTTTACCTAAGATTAAACAGAAGACGACATTTACAAATAAATTATTTACCGTTTATAATATTTGAAATTTCTGGTCCCCTCTCTTCTTCATCGCCTAAAATTCCATTCCATAGTACTATAGAAAAAATATTTGAGGACATCTGAAAATTTTCACAAACAATTATTGGCTATTTTTGATACAAAAGAGATGCGTAACTTTATCACAAATTCAGCTATAATTCACCAGACGATCCTCATATCCAACAAATGATTAGATAAATTTTAAAATACAAATAAATATCGTTAATTTTAATTATTTCTTAGCACAAAACATTCACAATTGTGTTAAATAACTAAGGTTTTAATGTCGATCGTTAGACTCTCAAACAACCAAAATAACCAATGACTGTCAAAATACAGCTGTACAGGCGTACACAATAGTCGGATAAATTTCCAACGCCTCGTCTTTATAATTAGCAAAGTCTTTGGTTCAAACTAAATAGCATCCCTCAGGTTCAATGGAAATTAATCTTTTATAAAGACGACATTTAGTTTCACCATTGCTTTCTTAAATAACAGTTCAGTTGCTTGAAATTAGGAGATATAAACCAGCATTTATTAGACGTTTTCTTTTTTAAAAGATTTTTACCCTAACCGTATTATTTCAAAGGAAAGAAGAAAAAATGAGCCAAATTTTTATTCAATTATATTTTTACTTTTTAATAGATATATTTTTGTTTAAAAAAGGTTACATTTTTCATTTCAAATGGCTATGTTTTTGGTTTTAAAAATGGTTGTATTTTGTCAAAAATTGTACTTTGGCCAAAAATTGGTTACATTTTTGTAAAAAAATTGTTTAAATTTTTGTAAAAAAATTGGTTAAATTTTTGTAACAAAACTTATAGTTTTGGTTAAAGAAAATGGTTAGATATTTGGCCAAAAACTAGTTTTTGGTTTAAACATATTATTATATTTAATTAAAGTAAAACAATGTTTATGTTTTTGGTTTTGTAATGGCGATACTTTTCCTTTAAAAAAGCTATGGTTTTAGTTATACAAATGGTTATATAATAATCGTTCGAAAATGGTTAATTACATCTTTAATTAAAAATGGATAGATTTTTCATTTTGTAAAAAATAGGTATATTTTTGTTAAATATAGTGAGGTGTTGGTTTAAAAAAATGATGATGTTCTGTGCCTTTAAAGAAGAAGAAAACTGAAGTATTATAATGATTATGCAGTTCTTTCTTTAAAAGTAGTGTTGGCGGTTATTCACTATAAGACTGGGCAACCTATGAAGTGTTGCCAGGTTTTTGTCCTTTCTAACCAACCAACTTATAAATTTGTGTAACCCTAGACATGAAGATTTAGAACAAGGTTTAACAAACATTCGGAGGTTTCTGGTTGTTAAAATAATATGCACTTAAAATTAAGTCTCAGACCATGAAAGACAATATTTTCCACAATTTATAGAAATTGAATGAGAGTTTAGAAAGTGAGTTAAACTTTAGTCATCAGTTTTTGTCTTTTTGATTGAATGAGAAGTTCATGGGCAGCCGTAGTACATTTGAATTTCCGAGCCAGGTCAACCTTTCCGGTCCCAGTTTGGAGCGTATCGCTCGGACATTGGGTAAATAAAGCAGACAGTCTGAAGGATCAGAGGTGCGTGGTTAAGAAAGTTAGTTAAACTTTAGAGATCATTAATACAACAGTTGGAATATTAACAATAACTTTGTTTACAGTTTTAGTTGAAAATGATTCTTGAAACCATTTGCGAATATCTAAAAGATTTTAACCCTAAACAGCTGGTCGGGGATGGGATGTGTTGACACCCCCCCCCCCCTCCTCCCCTCTAGTTTTTGTGAACTAGAGGGGAGGAAGGTAAAATTTTAAAAATTAAAAGAGATTAACAGAGAATATGGGGTCAGGGCGTGAAAAGGTCAGTGTTAAAATCTAAAAACGTTTTTTTCTAAAAATTACATTTTTGAGAATCCTTTGAATATTTCTTAATATTTCTCAAACACAAAAAACTTAGTCTTTGCTATCTTCTTCACCCTGTAATTCATAAACATGATTCTAAAAATATATGCTACCCTCTGTTACAACCCTTCCGCTGAGTACCCACCCTTTCCCTTAAACTTTTTCACCCCCTCTCCTTTACTTATTCATGATTTATCATCATTGTTTTGTTTAAGATGTACACTGTATACAGTGTACATCCATCTATTTATTTACAATTCTTATTCTGGTTAGGCGGGTCCAAACTACATAGTAAGTTGTGATTTTTTGTTTGTATTATCTCGTGCTTTGTAGTTGAATTAAAATATGAAATGAAATGAAATGTTTTTTTTTACATTTATCCGACCTTCTTATTTACCTCCCTCACACCTGAACTATTGAGGTTTAAACTTTTAAAAAGATTAAATTTTTTTAGATGAGCTGTGGGCTATGAACATGTATTACAACTTTTTACTTCAAAGCCACTTTTCTAGTGGATAAGGGGGGGGGGCGTCGGAACACCATATAGTCCAT